TATAAGGCTGGCTGTATATACAGGTTACTCTATATAAGGATGGTGTATATACAGGTTACTCTATATAAGGATGGCTGTATATACAGGTTACTCTATATAAGGATGGCTGTATATACAGGTTACTCTATAAAAGGATGGCTGTATATACAGGTTACTCTGTATAAGGATGGTGTATATGCAGGTTACTCTATATAAGGATGGCTGTATATACAGGTTACTCTATAAAAGGATGGCTGTATATACAGGTTACTCTATATAAGGATGGCTGTATATTCAGGTTACTCTGTATAAGGATGGTGTATATACAGGTTACTCTGTATAAGGATGCTGTATATATAGGTTACTCTATATAAGGATGGCTGTATATACAGGTTAATCTATATAAGGATGCTGTATATACAGGTCACCTACCTGCAGTCAGGATAAATAGTGACAGTAAGATGCTGGATGTTGGTGATGGTTGCAGCATTGTGGCTGGAGATATCTGGAGTTACAGTAAATACAGAGAGTCCCTCAGGCAGTTACTGACTGGCTGCATTCTTCCAATAATTGTATAATATCCCAGAGTGTAATATTGTGTCCATGCTAGATACTAAACATGCAGCAACTGGCAGCATATCGAGTAGTTACAATGTAAACCTCACTGTGTGAATTCTATTTGTCCCTCCCCTCCCTTTTCTGCTCCCTGTCTCCCCCTGCAGTATGTCCAGGCATTGCAAGTGATTAACCCCTTAAGGACGAAACCAATTGTAAAGTTCTTATCTAAACAAAATGTAAACAATAGCTGGAATTTGTCTTGATGTCTGTACAACCATAATTCCCCTCTCTCAGCTCTAGCTTCCAAGTCCAGCTGTAAATAGTTTAAAATATTTGTTTTTTTTATAACTTGAACAATTATATGAAAAGCAGTTAGATCTATGGAAGAACATTGAATGCTTGCAATTATTTATTATTTATAAAATATTTTACCAGAATGGATACATTGAGATTTCTCTCGTTTACTCTATATAAGGATGGCTGTATAGACAGGTTACTCTATATAAGGATGGCTGTATATACAGGTTACTCTATACAAGGATGGTTGTATATAAAGGTTACTCTATATGAGGATGCTGTATATACAGGTTCCTCTGTATAAGGGATGTCTGTATATTCAGGTTACTCTATATAAGGATGGTGTATATACAGGTTACTCTATATGAGGATGGCTGTATATACAGGTTACTCTATATAAGGATGCTGTATATACAGGTTACTCTATATAAGGCTGGCTGTATAGACAGGTTACTCTATATAAGGTTGGCTGTATATACAGGTTACTCGATATAAGGATGCTGTATATACAGGTTACTCTATATAAGGCTGGCTGTATATACAGGTTACTCTATATAAGGATGGTGTATATACAGGTTACTCTATATAAGGATGGCTGTATATACAGGTTACTCTATATAAGGATGGCTGTATATACAGGTTACTCTATAAAAGGATGGCTGTATATACAGGTTACTCTGTATAAGGATGGTGTATATGCAGGTTACTCTATATAAGGATGGCTGTATATACAGGTTACTCTATAAAAGGATGGCTGTATATACAGGTTACTCTATATAAGGATGGCTGTATATTCAGGTTACTCTGTATAAGGATGGTGTATATACAGGTTACTCTGTATAAGGATGGTGTATATACAGGTTACTCTATATAAGGATGGCTGTATATACAGGTTAATCTATATAAGGATGCTGTATATACAGGTCACCTACCTGCAGTCAGGATAAATAGTGACAGTAAGATGCTGGATGTTGGTGATGGTTGCAGCATTGTGGCTGGAGATATCTGGAGTTACAGTAAATACAGAGAGTCCCTCAGGCAGTTACTGACTGGCTGCATTCTTCCAATAATTGTATAATATCCCAGAGTGTAATATTGCGTCCATGCTAGATACTAAACATGCAGCAACTGGCAGCATATCGAGTAGTTACAATGTAAACCTCACTGTGTGAATTCTATTTGTCCCTCCCCTCCCTTTTCTGCTCCCTGTCTCCCCCTGCAGTATGTCCAGGCATTGCAAGTGATTAACCCCTTAAGGACGAAACCAATTGTAAAGTTCTTATCTAAACAAAATGTAAACAATAGCTGGAATTTGTCTTGATGTCTGTACAACCATAATTCCCCTCTCTCAGCTCTAGCTTCCAAGTCCAGCTGTAAATAGTTTAAAATATTTGTTTTTTTTATAACTTGAACAATTATATGAAAAGCAGTTAGATCTATGGAAGAACATTGAATGCTTGCAATTATTTATTATTTATAAAATATTTTACCAGAATGGATACATTGAGATTTCTCTCGTTTTCAAGTATGTCCTGGGTCTACTAATCATTGCATTGTTACATTATGGTACAGTAAAATACAAAAACAATATTAATACACAATAAATACAAAATGTAACATAGAACAGGTAGGAAATATATAATCAATAATGCACGATTTCTAGACTCAGGTTAATTGTGATTCCTCCCCTCCTATTATTTATCATTATGTTCAGGAGAATCAAGGCTTTCTTTTCACATCAAATATATGAAACAGTCTAATATGAATAAAATCTAAAAGATAAATTAAAAAATGTTGTTATTTGTCAAGTTTTGCATGACTTATTAACTGTGAATATTATAATATTGTTAGTTTTCACTGCAATAAAACACTATTATTTGTGTTCAGCGATGTCTAACGAGTATAACAGTACCCCCATTTTGCCATTTTGGCAATTTGATTACAAGGTTCTCGCGATCACATGGCCAGAGGCCTGGATTGCCGCAGGGGGACGGTCTGACTTGTGTGTATTAAATGAATTTCTTTGTAAGAGCAAAGTGAGTATACAAATAAAGAGTGATAAAAGCAATTAAAAACAGTGTAACAACTAAACAATTAAAGTGTTGGTGCTTGAATGAGTATACTCACATTTGCGGATAATATCTGTACTGCATGAAGAATACATGACTATAAAACTCCTCTTATTTATACACACACCTGTGGTTGCCTCTAAAGAGGCCTCAGAGGCTAGGGGACCTGGGCGGGGTGCTTAATCCCAAAGGAATCTGGTCTGGATTCCAAATATACTTGCACAGAGAAGAGATTGGGGGCACACCCGAGACATGCATTATGCAAGAAAGGTGCTGCCGCAGTGACCAAAATTCATACAGAAAAAAATAGTTATGGTGCACTCAGACTTCTAAAAATACATAACTAAGAAGGCTACTATAAAACACCTAAGAGAATTATTTTATTATTATTATTCTGCCCCCAAATCTTCACCCTACTCCATGTACCCCCCTGTCCCCACCTTCTGTCCCCTTTCTCACATTCTTCCCTTCCTCACATTTTCAACTTTCTTTATATTACCCCCACACTCACCACATCCTGCCCCTGTCACCCGATTGTCTCCTTGTCTGTCCATTTCTCCAATAATCCAGTGATTCTCTCCTTCCCTGCTCTGGTGCTAATGTGGCTGAGTGACATGGGGCTGGTAGTCCTAGCAGAGAGCTTAGTTCAGTTTGGCACCATCTGCTGGTTAGAGGGAGCACTGACAGAATAGCAAATCTGACCTTACCCTTTATAGCCCTTCCTTCAATGTTATATAGAGTTATTTGAGAATTTTCCACTAAGTGGGGGGTTTCCATTATATACTCACCTCTTATAACATCACAACAATTTTATTTTATTTTATTGTATATTACAGTATTTTCAGAGCTAACTGATGTGTGAACCAGATTTAATGGACTGGAGTAATAGCTTAATTTTTGTTTTCAGACAGATCATACGATTTCAGAAATTTTGATTATGAATACCTTCCCTTATTTTTCTATATAAAGTTATTTGATGCATCATAATGTGCGTTTAGTGTTGTTTTACCTACAACATTGCTTGTTTCAAATGAAAGATTGTGAAGATTGAATATAACCGCAATAATTGGTTCCTTTTGGAATCTCGCTATATTCATTATATTGGTATGTGTTTCTGTTTGGCATTTTCCATTATATACTCACCTCTTATAACATCACAATTTAGTTTTTTGTTATTATACAGTATTTTCAGAGTTAACTGAAGTTTTGCTGTGGTTTCTATATTTAGAGTTCTACTACTCATTGTTTGCATTCTGTATTACAATCTCGTTACCTGTCATATTGTTCATAAAATGCCTCCCAAGGCCAATTCACTCTATGGATTTTATTACCTGAACAAACTATTCTTTGTATAAAATATCATTTTCCCTCGCTTTTCCAAACAATTATTTACAGAGTAAGTTAAGCATAATGAAAGCAGAACAAAGTTGATAATGAAACAATCATTAATATTTTGTGCTGTATATTTGTCCATCTGTAATTCCTGCACACACCCCTTATTCATTTGGTGAACAAACATTCACAGTTTTTAAAGGACACAGCTTTGTATTTTTTTTTTCTATATAACTATACATTTGACCTTTTTTTGTAGACAATCCTTTGTATTACCTGTCTCTGTAAAAATGTCATATATATTTATAATATTATAAACATTTACAGGAACAGACATTACACTTTCTTGTGAGTTTCAGGAACCAGATTTAATGGACTGGAGTAATATCTAAAAGTTTGTTTTCAGACAGCTCATTCGATTTGATAAATTTTGATTATGAATACCTTCTCTCTTCTCTTGTTTTTTTTATTTTTTTTAGAGCGCAAAGGATCAAATGTGGCAGCCCATCTTTTTAAAATTTTCATTCTAGTCATATGTCTCAATTTTGGGCAACTGAACAAGTCACCATTTTAAACTGCTAAAGTATGGGAACTTTTTTTTTTTCTGAAGGATATAGTGTTGGTGTGAAACGAGTTTCATGCCGAATTGTTGGATCTAATTTGATCATGTGATCGGAAAAGCCAGAAATACGTCACCAAGTAGAGACATGCACTACCCGCTGTCCCGGAAATGATGCGTCCATCATTGACGTACCCGGATACGACGAAGAACACGGGCGGAAAGAGAAAACACGCTTTTTTGGGACATTTAAGAAAGAACAGTGAGTTAAAGACATTACCAATCACTTTGAGAAAGACGGTTGTCGAAATGCGTTAGTGCGGATGTTTATGAGAGATCTTTTGTTTTACTATATATATTTTTACCAATATTATAGTTTGTTCTGGCTACCTTTACCAACCCCCCTATTTTTGGTGTTTACTGATAACCTAAGGGGGTGTTCTAGTATCCAGCAGAATATTCCGGCATCAAATTCCAGCACTTGATCTCAGCAACCAACTATACATATCCCAAGGAGCTTAAAGTCTGAGCCCACTAGAAACGGCTCAGTACCACGTGAGTGGGACCCATTTGCTTTTTTTCGTTTTAAAGTATTTTATACAGATTTCACTATGATCTGTTGTTTCTTGTTTTTTTAGGTTATACCATGTTTTATGGTAACCTGCATGTGTGTGATACCCAATTGTTTATTCACTTTTAGTATTGCTCATCTTGTGTCATTACAGAGAGAGCATATCTGAATCATATCAGACTGGTCCCACCCGTACGGTCAGTCCAGATCCAAAATGCCAGCAAGTTCCCTCTGCAGAGACACAGCAACCCCAGACGATCGTTTCAAACTTTTTAGGCATCATCAGTGAGGCATAGCTGATATCTCTCGAGGCACCGTGAGCAAGTGGTCTGTGGCAAACCTAGCCACTTTAGGTCATATTGCAGAACATTTAAAGGTTGTCTGTGTTAACCTGGTGTAAAAAATGTATTCATGTGTTTTAGAATAGAGAGCATGCATAGACTAACAACCGTGAATAAAAATGTCAGTTGACTCCTGGAGCCGTGAATAAAAGTGTCAGTTGACTCCCTGAACTGTGTTTCGTCCGGTTACTGGGGGATTTGGGATATTGCCTTCTTTTCCAGCGCTTTACTTTGGATTACCTTCTATACCAGCGGAGATCTTGGGATTTAATATTGCAGCTCCGCTACAGGTTCCATGTATCATAAGTGTATTTTGATATTAATATCAAGGTACAGTAACAATGGCATTATATAATATATATGTATAATACATTAAAGGATCACTATAGGGTCAGGAACACAAACATGTATTCCTGACCCTATAGTGTTAACACCACCATCTAGCCCCCCTCATGCCTCCATAAATATAGTAAACATCTTACTGTATTCAAGCCTGAAGCTGTAACTCTGCATGCTGTTAGACTCAGAAAAACAAGCAGTCTGCTGACATGTGGTAGCCTGATCCAATCACAGTGCTTCCCCATAAGATTGGCTGAGACTGACAAAGAGGCAGATCAGGGGCAGAGCCAGCATGAATCAAACACAGCCCTGGCCAATCAGCATCTCCTCATAGAGATGAACTGAATCAATGAATCTCTGAGGAAAGTTCAGTGTCTGCATGCAGAAGGAGGAGATACCGAATCACAGGATGCTGTGCACAGTGCTGTCCTGTGCTCTACTGACAGCAGATCTGAGTCAATGGAGGCATATTATGTCCCTCTGGTTCACTCTGAGTGACTGCAACTAGAGGTGTTCCTAGCTTTCAATGTAAACACTGTGTTTTCTCAGAAAATACAGTGTTTACATGAAAAAAGGCTGCAGGAAGCTATAGTTCTCACCTGAACAACCTCATTAAGCTGAAGTTGTTCAGGTGACTATAGTGTCCCTTTAATAAAATGCTTTAATTATTTGCTAATATATTATACACGATGATATTGTTTGTGAAAGTACTGTTTTTTTTGCATTTTTCATACACAAGCAGATGGTAATATTTAGTGATCCACAAAAAACACACCCAATTACTCAGACACACACTGACAGCCACACACTGACAGCCAGACAAACACAATCACTCAGACACTCACTGACAGACAGACACACAGTGACAGACACACAGTCACTTAGATACACACAGTCACACAAACACTGACAGCCAGACACACACAATTACTCAGACACACACTGACAGCCACACACTGACTGCCAGACACACACAATCACACAACCCCGCCCCTCCCCCCCCACCCTCCAAACATTAATTAAGATTACTTCTATTTTAGTTTAAATCCACCCAGCCTCCCTACATTTGGAGGAGCTGGGTGGATTTTTTTTACCTGGTGTCCAGTGGGTCTTCTTGCATAGAGGAAGGCAGGCATGCAAGCACTTGGGCGGCTAACTAAACATCCAGGCAGGTGGGCGGCACTGGCGAGGGAGCACTGATTTGTGAGCTGTCTCTACTCAGCTTCCTTGCGCGCACGTGCGCTGCTGAGGTTTTTGCCTGGGCGTTTGGGGAGGAGGGGGGGGATGCTTTTTTGCCACCCCCTGTTAAGTGCAGCCCAATTTGTGACATAACAGGGAAAAAACGTAAAGCAAGGACCCGTGCTGTACCGTACACCGTGGGAACCGATCCTGGCGTGACAGGTAGGTCTGACTTACGGTTTAGGAGTCCCTGGGACGCGATTTACGACGATGACCGGGGTCAGAAGAAGCTGGACGGACGGAAAAGGCCTGAACAGGATT